GCGGCAACCACATGTGACGACCCCGGGCTGGACTCCGCTTCGTCCACGGTGAAAGCCGATCCGGCGATCCACAGCACTAAGTTGATGTATTCCCTCAGCGACCAGCACAGATCAGCTCTAGGCATGACGAAGCGGATATTGTCCTCTTTTGGAAGGCCAACCAAAGTAGTTTCGCTTTCACAACGAAGCACACAATGCATTATAGTCCTTCACGTCCACTCCGATCTCAAAACTCTGGCCATTTGTTAATCATGATGGACGATGACATCGGATGGGGGGGTTTAGGGGGTGTGCCCGAAGCGTGAAACCGTATGCAGAAAGGCACGGAAAATAAATAACGCGTTCTATGGAGCCACTAAAGGGACATGGTTAGCCGCTTGCTAGCGGTAGACTGTTACATTACAGTACATGAAAGTTCACTTACCACATAAACAGAGTAAGGAGAGATGACTGATAGGACAATGGCGAAAGATTTGCAGATACTGAGCACCACTGACAAATATCTAATCTTGTAAAATGTGTGGTAGCGGCAGTACCTACCAGTGCTCAACATCGTGATGTCTGTCAGCCATCGGCGATGGACGATGGCATCATCTATCGGCCCAACCCTACGTGCGGATGGCAGATCCTTTTCCTATTTAGCACCCAAACTCTGGAACAATCTACCTAACACTGTTTGGGAGGCAGACACGCTCTGCCAGTTTAAATCTAGATTAAAGACCCATCTCTTTAACCTGGTTTACATATAACACACTATCACATTTCTATAATTCAAATCTATTAAAGGTTTGTTAGGCTGCATTAATTACCGTATTGTCCCGAATATAAGACGATATTTTTTTCTTGGAAATACATCTGAAAAAACGCGGTCGTCTTATATTCAGGGTCTAGACTTTGACATGTCAATAATACACCCACAACACTAGGTGGCGCCAAAACCGCATAAAACGAGTGTGCCATGAAATACGTAATGTAATGCGTGTTGTAAAGATCGCGAGTAAAAACAAAAGAAGCAGAAAACCTTACAGCTGCATGAGTCGTGACTGTCACGTTAGCCTGATGGGACCAAACTGCCTTTGTGATTTTAAAACGTAAGACAGTACCCAGATTTGAAGACTACAGTAAGATTTTACTTCTACTGTTAATAAGATTTTGGTAGGCTGGTATTAGATGGATAGCCTAAATGTCCTAATTCAGATGGGCTACCTGTTTTTTTTTTATTTTTATGGTATATCAAAAAGTGTATATTTTTTAAATGTGATTTGTTGGTACATTTTACCAGTTTTTATCATACTTTCAAAACAAAAATTAAAATAGGAAAAATATGCAATATGAAAATAATTGAAGACAAAATGTGTTTTACTGAGAAAAAACAAGATTTTGTTTTTAAAAAGCCTTTTTCCAAAAGGTACATCTGGAAAAAGGGGGGTCGTCTTATAATCAGGGTCGTCTTATATTCGGGCCAATACGGTAGGTCAACCGGAACCAAGAAAATTTCCCATAACACCCGATGTACTTGTTACATCATAAGAAGAATGGAATCTACGCTGATATTAATCTGTTTCATTCTTATTCCAAGGTCACCGTAGCCACCCAAATCCAGTCCGTATCCAGTCCAGATGGTGGATCAGCACCTAGAGACAACCTCTACAGCCCTAAATGTCAGTGGAGACCAGGTTAACTAGACCTCATCAACTAGACAGCCATCGGCACAAGACCATGAGAACCAGATGAGTCCTCTGCACAATCTGACTTGTGTTGCAGCCAGGAATTAAACCACACCATGCTAGTTTCTTCTGGCCAGGGGAGAACTGGCCCCCCGACTGAGCCTGGTTTCTCTCAAGGGTTTTTTTTTCTCCATTTCTGTCACCGATGGAGCTTTGGTTTCTTGCCACTGTTGCCTTTGGCTTGCTTAGTTGGGGACAGCTGGATGATGACATCACTGAATCAATGATGCAGTCATGGCCTTTAGGGCAGTCGTGGCCTAATGGTTAGACAGTCTGACTTATAACCCAAAGGTCATGGATTCAAGTCTTGGTATCGGCAGGGATTGTAGGTGGGGGGAGTGAATGACCAGTGCTCTCTTCCACCCTCAATACCACGACTGAGGTGAGACCCTTGAGCAAGGTACTGAACCCCCCACTGCTCCCTGGGCACCGCAGCAAAAAATGGCTGCTCCGGGTGTCTGTTCACTACTCACTACTCTGTGTGTGTGCTCTTGGATGGGTTAAATGCAGAGCACAAATCCTGAGTATGGGACACCATACTTGGCTACATGTCACGCCACTTATTTTTTAGGGGCACCTCCTCTCAGTGGTGGGGCTCCATCTCGGGCCTGCCGGGAGTCTTCGTCTCCTTGACCTGAGAAGCCTGTGGCTCCGCTTCCGGTCTCAAATGGCTCCGCTCCACCCGTCCAGACTCCTGTGCCTGCATTCCTCCCACCCTCGATTCCAGCGTGGACCATGATCCATTCGGCCTCGCCGGGCTCCCTCAGTCAGTCGGCTTCACCTGAGTCGGACCTCGCCAAGCCTCTGCTGCGGAATTGCAGGCCGTCCGCTGGTCTCTGGCCCTCCACCCCTTTGGCTACGGCCCGCTCCTCCCACCCTCAGGCTCCGCCTCCTTCCTCGGTCACTCCTGCTCGCCCTCTGGCCTCCGGATCCCCACCTGTATCTCGGGCCATCATCGCTATGGCTCCGTCGTGGCTGTCTGGATCCTCGGCATCGCTCCACCTCTTCGGCTCTCTGTCAGCGCGGTGGGCTCCACCTCAATCGCCGTCGCCACCTCCAGTTGTCCCCATGGCGGCGTGTGTTCCTATTATTCCTTGGCTCCTCCCTCCATCAGCGCCGCCATGGAGCGCCGTTCTGGCTGTGAACTGGGCACCTGCCATCATGCCCCTGGTCAAGGGCTCTCCCTGGCTTTCACCTCCATCATCACCACCCTGGGCTTTGCTGTTCGTCCTCCTCCCAAGCCTCCTCCTGCATCCCTTTGCCTGTGTGTGCCATCCCTTTGCCAGCCCCTTTCACCATCCCTGTGCCACCTCCTCATCCTCGCCTCCTTGTCTTCATGGCACGGGGTCACGCCTTCCAGGAGGGGGTGTTCTGTCATGGTTTCTGTTAGTTTGGACTCTGTGTTTCATCACCATTTGCCTTAGGGTGCTTTCACACCTGTTGATCGATTGCTTTGTTCCGAAACGGGGATTAAAATTATTACAATGTTGCTTTTTATTCTTGGTGCGGTTCGCTTTCACACGGCAAAGTTTCTAAACGGACCAAATTTGTTAATACAAGTCACGCGCGAGTAAACTGTTCTCATTGGTCAAAGTTCCACGGTTTATTTTCCTGGATTCCATTTAGCTGTCACGGCTGTCATCCGTCAGGATGGAACGACAACAGCTTTGCGGGCTGTTGTTTTTTTGTTTTGTTTTTTTAGCTGTCCTTATATTAATTTATAATTTTGAGCAGGAGTCCAGGATTCATCGGGAAAATTTTTTTTAAATGCACCTAGGAAGAAGAGCAATAAGACGGCATTATAAAATGAAAGAGTGCGCTTTTTTATTTTGAATGGCGAAGACATGCTCACCCACAGACATTCACAGGTTCATTTTGAAGTATTAACAAAACAACAAAGCTAATGCTTTTCACGGAACGCCAAAGGTTCCGAAACAACGGGCCAGGTGTTAAAGCACCCTTAGTTTGTTTGTTGTCACGGACACTAATGTTCAACTTATGTTCAGCTGTGCACTCATTAATCACTTCATTATCACCTGTATTTAAGTTCTCTCTGTTTCAGTTCATTTTGTTCAGTCTCGTCAACTCTACCCTGTGTTTGTGGATTACCTGTGTGTTGGATTAAAAACTTTCTAAACCTTCATCATCTTCTTTGTGCGTTTGAACACAGATTAGCGTGACAAATACAAGATAATAATAATAATAATAACCTGAATTGTCTCGCTTACTGAATGTGCACTATACTACAACGCATGTCTGGATATATATAAAAATAATAATACAAATATGAATAAATAGTTGTTTAAAATTTATTTAAATTAATAATTAAGAAAGAAAAAAATATATATATAATATTATAAAATATTAACAACAACAATAATGATGATGATGATGATGATGATGATGATGATGATAATAATAATAATAATAATAATAATCTGAATTGTCTGTTTAAAACCCTGAAAGTGCACTTGACTACACCGAATGTCTGGATATATATAAAAAATAATCATAAACAGAAAAAAAGTAATTTCAAAATGGATTTAAAGGAATAAACAGGAAAGAAAAAAGTAAAAAAATATATATATCTAATATAAAAATACTAAAAACAACTACAACATCAATAATAATATTTTAACAATAACTAAATTTAAATACTCACTGCACAGCGCTATTTGAGTGCATTGACCACCTGGTTAAACTGGATTTCAGGTAGCCAGTGAATAAGATGTAGATTTTTGCACTGAAACACCATGAATTCATTGTGGAATTTATTTATTTTTTTTAACAGAAGGTCTTGGGTTCTACTTTGCAACATGCACTCAACAAGGGGACCTTTTTATTAAACAAGATGACTAAACTAAACAATATTTGTCTAGCAGCACTCAGGCTACTGTTTCATTCTGTATACACATCAAAACTGAAGAAAGAAGAAAAGCCTCACCTGTGGCACTGGTGCCAGGTCCAGGACTCTCTTGAGGCTCGTGGACGGAAGTCAGCTCTGCCCAAGTTCATGATACGGGAGGAAAAACGCAGAAGACGGCGGTGCCCGTACGGCCACTGCATACGGCTGGCAGAGGAGGAGAGACAGTTCTCCTCATGCGCACAGGTGAGCAGGTGCAGAGGCCTGTCTTCCAGGTAAGCGCTCTCCTGCACGAGCTGTGCATCCAAAACCAGGTCAGGTGCCGCTAAAACATGATGTTGATTTATTCATTTGGATCATTCAGTGCAGATAAAATTATAATGCGCATCAGATTTTGTCATTCCAATCACTTACTTTCAGAACAGGTGACGCCTGCTGCTTTAGCTCCACCTCCTCGAGGGCAGTGGATGTAACTATTTCGACGGCACTGCTGGATGGACATTTCTGTTCCCACACAGTGAGTCCCACTCAACAACACTTCTTCTGCCGCAGGGTCACCTTGCCAGTAATATGTGTCCTATACACAGGAAGGCCACATCTTATTTGTCTCCATATGAAGTAGTAATATACAAATTTATGTAATGTATGTAATACATATGTAATAATAGTAATAGTAATATTAGTATAGTATAGTATAGTATAGTATAGTACAGATTTTACTATTAGGGTATTTGACATGAAATACTTTTTAGGAAGTTGATATGCACTCTAGTTCATGTTACGATGAGTCTAAAACTGTTTTAATTGAGAATTTGTTACTTAAATATTTAATAAATTGTTTTATTTTTATTTTTGTAATAAATTTGTTAATGAACCATAATATTTTGCTAATTAATAATAATAATAATAATTCATTGATTAATAATTAAATTAGGCCAATATAAAGATAAATGTGTGTGTGTGTGTGTGTATTGGCCTAATTTAATTCATTTATCTTTATATTGGCCTAATTTAGGTCAATATAAGCCTATTAGAGCTTATTACCATAAATAAGGTAATCCAGTTATATTCTTTTTTTCAACTGGGAGGTTTTTATGACAATACAACACATTAATTTTCCAATTCTCATGAAAAAACTGAACTGAATTTGTACTGAATATATTATTTATATTTATTATTACTTATATAATATTTTATTTATGATATATGAATCTATGCAGATTAGGTGATTCCATTCGATTTTTTATGATATTTTTTCCACATTAAGTTTAATGAATATCAGTATAAAATTCAATGCTAAAAATAAACAGGCTTAATTTTATTTATGAAAAGTATGATGATTTCTTTATTAGATTTACCTCATAAGCAGTACAGCACTGCACATGTGGTACAGAGACAGTATTAAGGTAAGCACTGTGCCCTGAAAGTATAACCGTCTTGATTCCTGTCCTCAAGTATTGCTTGAAACAGTTGAAGTATGTGCAGGATGCATATCAAATGTACCTGCAATTCTGTCTGAAAATACACAGTTTACCGTTAACCTGTCCCACCTCTTCACCTCCACAAAACAACTACTGTATAACACCGACTTTGCCTAGAAATATCCTGCCCCCTAAACAAGAGCTCTCAAACGCACACAGACTGAGGCAACCAAAGCAAACGAGACAAGAGACATATTCAGAGCGATATTACTGGAAAACACAACATTCTTCGGCAGTCTCACCTGATGGGCACGTGTGGCGAAACCAAAGCCCAGCTGCCTGCATACCACCATGGCTTCATTTATTCCCCAGTTCTCACTACAAATCGTCCCCCAATGCTTTCTGCCCCCCACTTCCATGAGCACCTCCACACGACCCTCAGCCGGGTCCCTGCCCCCCGCCAACCGCACCTAAAACGCAAACACGCTCACAGACATCAAAACTACACATACAGTATTTGAACACTTTTGGCCACTTAACTCACATTTAAAAATGTCTAAACGCCACTGCATTGCATAATCTGTAAACAATGATGCTAGAGCTTTTCTCAGAACTTACTTTCAACCATTTTTTTTTTTTGTAATTAAGTTTAACAAACTAGTTTTAAAGTGATGTTTGATGGATTAAGTGTGTATACATTATATCAAATAAATTCCATATAAAAAATAAAGCAATAATCTCCAAGAAGCCGCGACTAACAGTAAATTTCGGGTGACTCGACCAATCATAATCGAGGGCCAGAAATTATTACAAATAATTTCAATGTAATGCATTGTAATGAAAACAGAAAAAAGTCGGCACACCTAGGCTCCAAAAATACAAAAACTTTAATGATGGACTATCACACAGGAAATAATGCATTATAAAATGCAAAGACATTTAAATCTTGTATATTTATTTTAAATAAATGCCATACAATGTACTAAATGCAAGCCATTTTAAATATGCATATTTATTTTAAATAAAAGCAATATAATGCATAATATAAAGCAAATGCATTATAATCCTGTATATTTATTCTAAATAATTGCCATATAATGCATCATTTAACAAAAAAAACTTTTAAGTCTGTATATTTATTTTAAATAAATGCTATATAATGCACTAAATGAAAAGACATTTAAAATCTGCATATTTATTTAAAATACATTTAATTTAATGCTAATACATCTGTCTGTATATTTATCCAAAAAAAAAATCTATATAATGCATCATATAATACAAAGACTTTTTAAGTGTGGCTTAAATGTCCAAATATTTGGGGGGGGGCTACTGTACAGATAGCATGACTGATAGGAGTCATCATATTTTTCACAGCATGTAGAATCATATCAGAGTAAACTGTAATCATTTTGCTCACCATAGTCTCCATGCCTGTCTTAGGAACATAACATTTGACAGAAGCATCCTGGCTGTGTTCGAATGTCCAGGGAGGGACTTCCTGGAAGTAACAATCCAAAATAGAGCGCTCTGTGCCAGTGCACTGCACTGAGTTCATGTGGATCGGCCCCGTCCCTGTAAAACAAACAGTAAATGTCTTCACAAGGCTTCACAAGTGAAAAGTCTCAAATATAAAACAAAATAACAAACACTCAGCCTGTTTGAGTACTTTCAGCCACAGAGAACACTAGATACTTTCTAACCGACCCTTTCCTAAACATTCCCTTAAAAAAAAAACGCTGCTCACCATTTTTGCAGACTAAATCTTGTTCTTTACTGATGTAAATCTATAGAGGATCTGTCTGTTTCCACTCCATAACTCAATCACATTACTGTGTAATTTAATAATTTATCATTATGGAACATTCTAAATGATATAACACTCAAAACTGTTATTGGGGCGGTACCTTTCAAATGGTACTAATATGTATACTTCAGGTGCTAAGGTCCTAATATGTAGTGCTGGTTATATTACTTACAAATTGTAGTCCATTACTGATTACAAATTACATGACATAAATTATAGCTTGTATTGTCTATTGTCTATTGGATTACACACATTAGGCAATGTATTCAGACTACTTTTTGATTACTTTTAGATTCATTTTGACCTAAAATATATTCCTTTCTCTGTTATCAACACTGTGAAGTGTATTAAACATTACATTATGCCAGGGTTTCCCAAACTGGGGTTTATGAATGAACTACAGGGGGTTTACAGTGAGATGATGAAAAGCTAGAAGTCTTTCCAAATGTATAAAAGCAGAAGAATTTTAGAAAAGAAAATTTAAGAGAGAGAGAAGAATTAGGGCAAATCAAATTATGAATAATTTACTGCTATTGTGTGAATTATATGTAATAACGTAATCTATAAAAAAAAAAGTAACTGTAATCTGAGTATTCATACAAATTAAGCATGTATATGTAATATAATCTAATTACAAGTATTAATTTTTGGAATCTGATTACATAATTCATATTACATGTAATCAGTTATGACCCAGCACTCCTAATATACTAAAATATTGAAATGTACCATTTAGGGGTTAATGTGTTCCAAAGATGTACCTTTTAGCTTTTGTTTCTTCACCTCAGTGACTGCTCTCTTTTTTTTCTGAGAGTTTAGTGTTAAAGCAGAATTCCTCATCATTCACCAGAAGGGCACACATGAGTCTGATCAGATTCAGAGGTGTGCGTTTATTTTGTGAAATCATTATGATCACATTCTTGAAGTTCTATGGATATAAAAGAGCTTGACTGCATATCAGATGTCACAGTTCATTTCCATCTTGTTTACTGTGATATAAAAACATTGGTCGTTTTAGCCTGAGGAGGCCGCTAAATCAGAGCCTAACGTGAGCATTGTGCTAAAACTTCAGATTTGAATCTCACAAGAATGTGAAATCCACTACACTGCATAAATATACCACAGCAACATTAGTATGAGAGTAATTATATAGTTTTTCCCCATCTCAGAAAAACATGCTGGGGAAATTCTGGGTAAATGAAACAGAAAGCTACATGAACTGCTGTGGAAAAACAGCGGTTATGTGCTACTGCACTAAGTTCAAAAAGTCCTATTTCTACCAAAGCAAAGAAATCATGACCAGCTGTTTAGTTTTGAAACAAAAATGACAAACCCCAAAAGTAAACACAGCACCCTATTCGGCCTCGCTTCAGGGAAGCAAATTGCTAGAGATAAAACCCTGAGGGTTAGTATTGAAATGTTCCATCAAAGAGAATATTACATATAATCTAGGATGTAATCAAAGATAAGGGGTCGAACATGAAAGACGGTCTAATCAGATTCAATGATCTATGCTAAGCTACAGCTAAAAGTGCTACCGCCAGACCCGGAGATCGGCTAAATGGATTCGAAAACGGTAAAACTCAACTGTTTAACTCTAGGGGAGTTGGAAAATGAGCCTATTTTCAAAAACAGTGGAGTGTTCCTTTAAGACTCACTGAAAGAAAAAAAAACATTATAAATGTTAGTGTTTACTGTCATATTTTTATAGTGCTTACTGTCACTTTTGATCAACTAATGCATTTTAGCTGAAAAAAAATCAAACTTAAATATAAATCTCAGTATAAATAAAAAACAGCGTATGCTCAAAAAGGCAAGTAAATAACAGAAAAATGGAAGCAAAGACTAAGTAGTCCAGAAGTGGCTGAGGGAAAGGGAGTGGTTCTGTGACCGACTGCAGTGAACAGTTTCACTAGAGTGTGGTTTACGGAAAATTGCCATTTTTTTCTCCCTAAAATAAAACAACATATATATTCCGCATTAATGGTGTTTTCTTTTCATGAGATGACTATAATCCCTATTTTAGGAGCAGATTAAGTTGCTATATAAGAAATATTTCTCTCAGCTAAGTGCAATGTCAGCATCAGTTCGAAGCCAGAGGAAAAAAAACTCAGTGTGTATTGCATACAAAAATAAAGTTTATATGCTTATACGTTTTGCCTGCAAAGTGTGAATGTGACTTGAAATTCCTCACCTAAAGTGTCTAACTGAAGTAAAAACGGCTGATACAGCATTCAAACAAATCTCAAGACATGAAATCATCTTGGAACTTCAGGAAAGATAGGTTTACTTTCATCTTACTGGGAGGTAAGGCATCAGAACATCTCAACAGAATGCACTGCTTCATGCTGAACCATGCTGAAGGCTTTAAAAGATCTACTTTATCATGTACAGTTCATGCTAACTCTATGATCAAACTGGATAAAACCATTTTTGGGGAAAAAAATCCACTGAGAGAATCTGCTCCACAATACAGTCACAATGACAATCCATCTTCTAGTTTGTTTCCACCACTAAGCACATTAAAGGGATAGTTCATGATCCATAATTGAGAGTAAATAATGACAGAATTGTCAAATATTTTCAAAACTGTATGACTTTTTTTCTTCTGTGGAACATAAAATGAGATATTTTGTAATTGAGAGTAAATAATGACAGAATTGTCAAATATTTTCAAAACCGTATGACTTTTTTTCTTCTGTGGAACATAAAATGAGATATTTTGAAAAAAAAAATATTTTAAATGAAAGTCCATTGGTGTCCATATTGTTTGAACCCCAACTTTCTTCAAAATATCTTCTTTTATGTTCCACAGAAGAAAGAAAGAAGGTTTGGAATGACATGAGGTTTCAGTTTTGGATGAACTATCACTTTATATTATATTAAATGTCTGGAAAATCAGGCAGTGCAATGAACACTGTACCAACACCATTATTCAGGATAATTTCTAAATGTGGTTACCACAGTCTGGTGCATGTAACCCATCTCAACAGATTTCCTATTTTTACCGCCTGTCCCAAACAGTCCAGCTCTGTTCTGTCATTGAAACGCTAATTTGTGTCTCTCTTCACTCACTATATGTTTTTGTGGCCTCGGCTGCACTAGGAAAATTATACACATCAATAAATACGCCTAAAGACCTCAACGCTACGGACGTACAGAAATCATAAGCTTTGATCTCTATTCCTGCTACTTCTACATCCAAATGGCTGAATTCAAAAATCAGCAAGTGGAGTCACGCTTATGTCCTACGTCATCGGCTGGAACGCCACTTTCTCGTGAACGCGTATATGACAGTTAGCGGAAGCTAGAGATTACAGTTTATAAAGTTTTAAATATGGATATTTTTCTTGCTTCAGAAGACCTTTATTAACCCCCCGGAGCTGTGTGGAGCACTTTTTACCATGGATAGATGCATGTTTTTGTGCTTCAAAATTTCGACACCCATTCACTGCCATTATAAGTTCGGAAGAGCCAGGACATTTTTTTTTTATTAACTCTGATTATATTCGTCTGAAAGAAGAAAGTCATATACACCTAGGATGGCTTGAGGGTGAGTAAATCATGGGGTAATTTTCATTTTTGGGTGTACTATCCCTTTAAAAGTTGTTCAAACTAACACGTACTCTGGTTGCTTTAAACTGAATTTTAAAAGTGTAATTTCTAATAAAATTATCAGCCAACAAGCAAGTAACACATCAAAGCCTGTTTGCATTTACAATATTTGACACTTGATGAATGTTAAATTGAGACCTTGACTGGATTATTGAATGCGTCAACCTTACGCAGGTTCGTTTCAAGTGTCTGGACTCTCATATGGGTCACTACTGGTGTAATAAAGCTTATATTTCAAAATAACAGACCCCTAAAATCATCATCCATAAATCAACATTTCATTCTTTCACTTCTTTGAACGGTGGCACCTGATAAAACATCATCTATGAGTCAAACCTCTTTTCACTTTCTTTCTTTAAACAACATTGCAGCTCTGTTTCTCATCAAAGTGATATTGGGAAGTCTTCAATAAATAGCTACTGTCATCACTTCTCTTTGGCAGAGCAATTATCCCATCTTGTCAGAGTGGACCGATGCCTCTTGGAATACAGATCACCAGTGTGCTTTGTCTCACTCAGCCAAAGTAAACTCGCATGCAGTGTGGATCTGAGCCACTGAAAGTTCAGGGAAATCTCCTTGGTTTAAAGCATCATCACTGACTTTGAATTCATGTTTTGCACCTGTCCTGAAGAGTGTGATATCGCATAATGTAAAACATAATCTCTGACTGCTTTCATATTCAGCTGCAGACAGGCGTATCCCACAGATGAGCAGAGCTTACAAATTAAACTCAGACTCAGACTACTGTGGAATCATGTGGCAGACTCAGTATGATCATAATCATGTTCGTAGTTCTGAATCACCTTCTTCCTATAAACACCATATTGACTCAAAGCAGATTAAAGGAACAGGTAATCAAAAAATGACAATTCTATATTTTACTTGCCCTCATGTTGATCCTACTGGGATCCTTCAAGCTTAAACTAATTCTCACCTTGACCCATGTATGCTCCGGAAAGAGCCTCTTTGGCAGTGCCGAAGCCCAGCTCTCTGCACACCACACTGGCTGAGATCCGGTCCCATCGGTGGTCAACCACAGTTCCCCACTTTCCCTCACGGAGAACCTCAACTCTTCCTTCTCCCAGACGTGGTCCGGCCTTCAGACGCACTGACAGCTATGAGAGGAGAAAAAAGACTGACAAGGTTACTTTCAAGAAATCATATTTTTCCATCTCAGGCCCAAAGCACCAGGGTTATAACCACAACAGACATTTGGGGAGCACCAGTGAGGTGCATGTCTTCCCCAATCTTCAGATTAGTGGTCAACAAATATGTTTTTATGTTTAATAGGTTGATTCTAATGTAATATTAGCCCGAACCCTTAATATGTGGTTACAGCTTTGCAAAATACTAAGCCTACATTAGTTTAACCCCATAACAGTGTTTTTTTATTTTAATATATTTTAAAATGTAATTTAATAATGTGGAAAAGCTGAATTTTCAGCATTATTACTCTAGTCTTCAGTGTCACATGATCCTTCGGAAATCATGCTAAGGTGCTGATTTGGTGCCCATGAAACATTTCTTAATATTGTCATCAATGTTGAACTTTGTGGAAACCATGATACATTTTTTCAAGATTATTTGATGAATATAAACTTTAAAAGAGCAGCATTTATTTGAAACAGAAATCTTTTGTAACAATTTAAAAGTCTTTACTGTCCCTTTAGATCAATTTAATGCACCCTTGCTGAATAAAAGTATTAGAGATAGTGTCTATGCCAGTTCTGTTACATTCAAAACATCAGGGATGAACATTATAGGGTTTGAAGATCAGTGCAAAAAGGCAAAAATCTTTGTGCCTCACCATATTATTTATAGTTTATACTGGCATGTTTTGTGCCAAGAACATTATATTTTCTTTAACGCTTTTTTGAAAGCATGATATTTTAATTCCAATAACAGCATAATGAGGGTCAAATTTTATTATGGTAATTATATTGTTTTTTAGTGTTTTCTTATTCTATTTTTTTAAGTTATCTATTCAGTATTACCCATTAAAATGTAATGATGATGATTGGGGACAAATTTGTTATTCTGATAAAATACAAACATTTAAAAATATATATAAAATATTATACACCAAGCAGTCAAATTCACCCTTACGTCAGTTCATTGCATACTAAATGGTCAAATCCACCCTTAATAATAGTCAGTCAATTCATCCAAAAATAACCAAATGTTTTTAGGATTACCTCTGCAGGGTGAGGTGCTTGGGGTCTGCCAGAGAACATACGAGCAAACTGTGGTCCTGGGACACAGCGGGCCACTGCATGGCGTCCGTTCTTACAGGGGGCGGGGCTTCGAGGGATTGACAGCTGGGTTTGGCACTCCGCCAGGCTGGGCTCTGTGCCCAAACAATGTACTTTCTCAACCCAGAATCCCTTCTTCTTGGTCATCTGACTCAATCTAGGAGACATTATAGGTCACAAGAGCAATACTACATTAAGAGTTAAATTAAGAGTACAAGAAGATGTTCTGATGGATGGTAAAGAAAAATGTTTTAGTATGCATGTAGATATTTGCCAAAGAAGAGTCAACTGAAATCACCTGGTTGTTGAATCCTTGACTTTCTTATCCCATATTTTTCTGTAAATTAAAAGAAAGAAAATTTTAAAAGTTGAAATAAGCTGGGAAAAAATGTTCAATTTATGGTGCTGTTCCCCCAGACTAACCAGCAAAAATAGCAATATTACACTGGCAATAAAACAATATAAATTTACAGAAAGCCTTAGGCCACGTGAGGTTTTGTCATTAGCAGGCAATTACAGTAAAAACTCACTGTGCCAGATCTTCATTTACATTTGTGTCTTTATTTAAGAAAATGCAACAATCAGCACTCCAAAGTTTCATTCATTTACATAGCTGTTATATAATAATAAAATGTATGGCCCACAGACTTCAAAAGAACTCACACATATGTTTTAACTTAATCTACCACTAAACTGGCTTTCAAAGATGTACATTCTATAAACAGATATTTCCACTGGCATATTGGCATTCCAGAACGGCACAGCAAGACTTCCCAAAAAACTAACTGAGACAAACTTATACTCAAAATAACAGAGAGACAGAGAAAGAGAGATCCACCCAAGAACACCTACCCTCAATAATGCACCTGTCATCACAGTGACACATGGTATCAGGAAGAGCCAGGACATTTTTTTTTTTATTAACTCTGATTATATTCGTCTGAAAGAAGAAAGTCATATACACCTAGGATGGCTTGAGGGTGAGTAAATCATGGGGTAATTTTCATTTTTGGGTGTACTATCCCTTTAAAAGTTGTTCAAACTAACACGTACTCTGGTTGCTTTAAACTGAATTTTAAAAGTGTAATTTCTAATAAAATTATCAGCCAACAAGCAAGTAACACATCAAAGCCTGTTTGCATTTACAATATTTGACACTTGATGAATGTTAAATTGAGACCTTGACTGGATTATTGAATGCGTCAACCTTACGCAGGTTCATTTCAAGTGTCTGGACTCTCATATGGGTCACTACTGGTGTAATAAAGCTTATATTTCAAAATAACAGACCCCTAAAATCATCATCCATAAATCAACATTTCATTCTTTCACTTCTTTGAACGGTGGCACCTGATAAAACATCATCTATGAGTCAAACCTCTTTTCACTTTCTTTCTTTAAACAACATTGCAGCTCTGTTTCTCATCAAAGTGATATTGGGAAGTCTTCAATAAATAGCTACTGTCATCACTTCTCTTTGGCAGAGCAATTATCCCATCTTGTCAGAGTGGACCGATGCCTCTTGGAATACAGATCACCAGTGTGCTTTGTCTCACTCAGCCAAAGTAAACTCGCATGCAGTGTGGATCTGAGCCACTGAAAGTTCAGGGAAATCTCCTTGGTTTAAAGCATCATCACTGACTTTGAATTCATGTTTTGCACCTGTCCTGAAGAGTGTGATATCGCATAATGTAAAACATAATCTCTGACTGCTTTCATATTCAGCTGCAGACAGGCGTATCCCACAGATGAGCAGAGCTTACAAATTAAACTCAGACTCAGACTACTGTGGAATCATATGGCAGACTCAGTATGATCATAATCATGTTCGTAGTTCTGAATCACCTTCTTCCTATAAACACCATATTGACTCAAAGCAGATTAAAGGAACAGGTAATCAAAAAATGACAATTCTATATTTTACTTGCCCTCATGTTGATCCTACTGGGATCCTTCAAGCTTAAACTAATTCTCACCTTGACCCATGTATGCTCCGGAAAGAGCCTCTTTGGCAGTGCCGAAGCCCAGCTCTCTGCACACCACACTGGCTGAGATCCGGTCCCATCGGTGGTCAACCACAGTTCCCCACTTTCCCTCACGGAGAACCTCAACTCTTCCTTCTCCCAGACGTGGTCCGGCCTTCAGACGCACTGACAGCTATGAGAGGAGAAAAAAGACTGACAAGGTTACTTTCAAGAAATCATATTTTTCCATCTCAGGCCCAAAGCACCAGGGTTATAACCACAACAGACATTTGGGGAGCACCAGTGAGGTGCATGTCTTCCCCAATCTTCAGATTAGTGGTCAACAAATATGTTTTTATGTTTAATAGGTTGATTCTAATGTAATATTAGCCCGAACCCTTAATATGTGGTTACAGCTTTGCAAAATACTAAGCCTACATTAGTTTAACCCCATAACAGTGTTTTTTATTTTAATATATTTTAAAATGTAATTTAATAATGTGGAAAAGCTGAATTTTCAGCATTATTACTCTAGTCTTCAGTGTCACATGATCCTTCGGAAATCATGCTAAGGTGCTGATTTGGTGCCCATGAAACATTTCTTAATATTGTCATCAATGTTGAACTTTGTGGAAACCATGATACATTTTTTCAAGATTATTTGATGAATATAAACTTTAAAAGAGCAGCATTTATTTGAAACAGAAATCTTTTGTAACAATTTAAAAGTCTTTACTGTCCCTTTAGATCAATTTAATGCACCCTTGCTGAATAAAAGTATTAGAGATAGTGTCTATGCCAGTTCTGTTACATTCAAAACATCAGGGATGAACATTATAGGGTTTGAAGATCAGTGCAAAAAGGCAAAAATCTTTGTGCCTCACCATATTATTTATAGTTTATACTGGCATGTTTTGTGCCAAGAACATTATATTTTCTTTAACGCTTTTTTGAAAGCATGATATTTTAATTCCAATAACAGCATAATGAGGGTCAAATTTTATTATGGTAATTATATTGTTTTTTAGTGTTTTCTTATTCTATTTTTTTAAGTTATCTATTCAGTATTACCCATTAAAATGTAATGATGATGATTGGGGACAAATTTGTTATTCTGATAAAATACAAACATTTAAAAATATATATAAAATATTATACACCAAGCAGTCAAATTCACCCTTACGTCAGTTCATTGCATACTAAATGGTCAAATCCACCCTTAATAATAGTCAGTCAATTCATCCAAAAATAACCAAATGTTTTTAGGATTACCTCTGCAGGGTGAGGTGCTTGGGGTCTGCCAGAGAACATACGAGCAAACTGTGGTCCTGGGACACAGCGGGCCACTGCATGGCGTCCGTTCTTACAGGGGGTGGGGCTTCGAGGGATTGACAGCTGGGTTTGGCACTCCGCCAGGCTGGGCTCTGTGCCCAAACAATGTACTTTCTCAACCCAGAATCCCTTCTTCTTGGTCATCTGACTCAATCTAGGAGACATTATAGGTCACAAGAGCAATACTACATTAAGAGTTAAATTAAGAGTACAAGAAGATGTTCTGATGGATGGTAAAGAAAAATGTTTTAGTATGCATGTAGATATTTGCCAAAGAAGAGTCAACTGAAATCACCTGGTTGTTGAATCCTTGACTTTCTTATCCCATATTTTTCTGTAAATTAAAAGAAAGAAAATTTTAAAAGTTGAAATAAGCTGGGAAAAAATGTTCAATTTATGGTGCTGTTCCCCCAGACTAACCAGCAAAAATAGCAATATTACACTGGCAATAAAACAATATAAATTTACAGAAAGCCATAGGCCACGTGAGGTTTTGTCATTAGCAGGCAATTACAGTAAAAACTCACTGTGCCAGATCTTCATTTACATTTGTGTCTTTATTTAAGAAAATGCAACAATCAGCACTCCAAAGTTTCATTCATTTACATAGCTGTTATATAATAATAAAATGTATGGCCCACAGACTTCAAAAGAACTCACACATATGTTTTAACTTAATCTACCACTAAACTGGCTTTCAAAGATGTACATTCTATAAACAGATATTTCCACTGGCATATTGGCATTCCAGAACGGCACAGCAAGACTTCCCAAAAAACTAACTGAGACAAACTTATACTCAAAATAACAGAGAGACAGAGAAAGAGAGATCCACCCAAGAACACCTACCCTCAATAATGCACCTGTCATCACAGTGACACATGGTATCATTACTGTCATCATCACCGTCTGTCCAACTAAATGTGGTAGTTATGGAAGATTTGGCCTGGTAACCCAATGGATGTGTGTTTAATACACTCTGATTTTGCTGAATCTGTTTTTCTGACGGCACTTACAAAATAGTTTATCAAATGTCTACTTAAATGGACTTTCAAAATAGGAAACTTTCGAAATATTCTCCTGATGGAGCCGCTTTAACAATGAATTTCAAATGAGAATATCAGTCAACAGAAAAGAAACCAAATTCAAATGCTCTCCAGTTTAATGACCCCATAAAATATTTTGGATGTTTCTTGAAATGGCCAGTTTTGAGCACTTCAGTTTGGAACGACCCTTCAATATGGCGCCCATGATTGTTTTCACTCCGAAGTGCCCTTCGGAGGGCGATATATCCCATTTGGAACGCACCGGGTGAAACAGAGCTTTTCGAAACTCTGAATCAGTTAACCATTGCGTTGATTCACTGTTTTGAAGCTCTCCAATCGGATCGCGCATCACGAATCATTTGATTTGGTTCGGAGCGGGTTTGTGAATCATTTGATTTAGATCAGAATTTTGCGTATCGCGAATCATTTGATTCAGATCGGGACTTGCGTATCCCAAATCTTTTTTCTTATTTCTTTTTTAACAGTACAAACCATCAAACCTTTAAGACAGCACAGTTATAAAAACTAAACAAAAACAAAAAAAAGAAAGTATACACAAATACAAATCCCTTAAGAAAATTAACCATGGTTTTATTATAGTAAAAGTGTAGTGGGCCTAACCATGTTTTACTACAAATACCATGGTTAAACTATGGTTAGTGTAGCAAAACCATGGTTAATTTGTGGTTGCCATGGTTTAACTATAGGCTAACAATGTGTGTGTGTGTGTGTGTTGTTGTTGTTTTGTTTTGTTTTTAGAGCCAGATTTTTGTTTGTGTTATGTGAAATTTAGCTAGATAAATAATTATAACTAGTTATGATTAATTATTCATATTTCCCCATAAATGAGCTGATTCGTTACACAGGAAACACTCACATTCCCTTTTTGAGTAGTCAAACAAACCAAAGAATGGTCACTTCCAAAATGAGATTGGATGAACATTTTAAAAAATCTCACCAAAAAATCTTCTCTGTGTGGGTACATTGGCAAACAAGTGAATGACATCTTCATCAGAAGAATGACAAAAACAGCAACTCACTTTAATGTCCAAATATAATATTTTTTTGTGAAATTTGGAGTAACTCATTAATCTGTTGTTTGACATCTTCCTTTAGTAGGGACACTATGACATGTCCCAACCAATATCCAGCAACTACTAAATTGTCTCTAGCAATACTTTTGATCAAACAATTAAATGTCTGTTGTCTGCCGTTATGTCCCCATGCCAAAATCAAACCTACACCCTTGCTTAAAGTTATTATTAATGCCAATACATAAACAAAAAAATGTATTTGATATATAGAATAAGTTTATTTAATTATTTTTATTCTTAATTTATAAATCAAGTTGCACATTTATATATCAAATGTGCCACTCTGAAAGTGAAGAGATACTTTAGACAATAACAGTCTGTTTTTTCATTTGTTCTTACAGTTGCTGGCACTGAAATACCCACCTGCTCATGTAATTAGTCCAAGAGTTCCACCCTTGGTTTACTGCTGAACCAAGAAAACTTAATGATAGAGAGCGATGGTCTGTTTGGAGACAACAATCATGCCACTGTTTTAAGCATTAGTCTATACACATACACACACAAGTCTTTCTCTCTCAGTACATCTTACGAAACATGCTGTTTAAGCATTTATTAAGCAATAGGGCACTCTAATCTGCGATAAAGTTATTTTATATG